CCATCTGCACCCCTACCTCATTTATCACTGAGTGATCATTTAGGGGCCTTAGCTGGTGATCTGGGCTGTTTCCGAGCTTAATATATTTAATTAATAAAATATATATTTAAGTAATTATTTCATAAATAAAATTTAATCAATACCTAATTTTTGAACTTTAAAACATTGTTTTTTAGTTTTGAAAGGAATCATACTCAATCTCTTAGATATGAATTTTTTTCATCAAAGTATGTATTTTCGAATCCTAGCCAAATTTTCTCTTGCCTTTTGCACTCATTTTTCTTTTGCTAGGCTGTTGATTTAACCATCGGAGTGCAGTCAATCGTTAGATCATTTTTCTCAATCGACGGCATTTACCTCCTGACAGAGTGTTCAATTGCGCATGTGACGTTAACGTGGAGGAGAGATGGTCAGAATTTTGTTGGCACATATTTTTAGGACAATTATATTCTTCAACAATGTGAATTATGTATAAATTTGTTTCTTTGTAATTTTTTAGCACTAAGAATTCTTTTTAAACTAAAATAACGTTACATTCAATATTTTCGAGAAAGGAAAAATGTACTTGAAAAATTGGAATGAAATGGCAAAAGTAATTAGTCATAAGTGAGATTTTTTTTTCCATGTTTACTTAATTCGTTACTTTTTATTCTTTATGGATAAATTATTCAGTTTTGCTTCACTTACAGGGTCGATGTATTTTAAATTATTATACATTTTTCACAATATCTATTATATTTTTAGTTTTATTACATTTACATTACGGTTGACAACTTTATTTACACTTCATGACGTGGTATATAGTTTTGCCATTAATTTTAACAACATTTAAAATAAATCAATGAACTCAATTTTTAGACATCATTAAAATGTCATCATCAACAAGTAATTTAATTCTTATATTTTTGTGTTTTCATAATCACTACTATATAAAAAGGACAATGTTTCACTACTGTAGAAAGAACAGTAGATTTTTCCATTTTGTCTCACTTTTTTTTATTGAGAGAAAGAAACGACGTCGTTTATTTTACGTATTCGATACAGTAACTTTGTTGCTTTTCCTCAATTTACGCGGTATGGAGAATTATATCATAGAGTCCTTTTTACCCTTTCTCCATTTTTACACGCTACAGCAATGCCTCTCTATTTCTCCACACTATCTCTTTCACCATTTTCTCACGCTATCAACCATGTATCTTTAGAAAGTTTATTTTTGAACACATAAGTAAATTTAAATAAAAATATTATTTTTATATATGTACGTAAAAGGTATATAGTAACCATTTGGTTGATCAAAAAATAATATAAATCAAAATGTTTACGAACCGTATAAATAATAATTTATTGAGGAGGTTAATTCAAGAGTAAAAGTGTGAATTCCATAAATATATGATAGAAAATATGTTTGAAGAAAAATAAATTTTAAAAAATGAAGACCAAACATGTTAACAAATGAATATATTTATTTTTCGAGGAACAAGTTTTTATTACCATTTCATTTTTATTATGAAATGATTCTAATCTTAATATGTTAAATTGTACTTCAAAATTACACAATCTATCAAATATAATTTTTAAAATTAATTTTTATAAAATAATATGTTTTTATGATTTTTTTTATTTTTTTTTTAGTATTATGCTTTTATGCTTGAGCCTCCATATTATGGAGGCTTTATCTCCATGAAACCTCCATATATCTCCATGAAACCTCCGTAATACGGAGGCTTTATGGAGGCCTCCATATTATGGAGGCTTTCCTCCATAATATGGAGGCCTTTCTCCATAAAACCTCTATATTATAGAGGAAAGTTTCCATAATATTTTTTTTATTTTTTTTAATATATATTAAAATTATTTTATTTTTTTAATATTGTTGACATGATACATGTGTGGAAGAATATTTGTCAATCATTATAAACAAAATTTTTCACAAAATGCAAAATATAAAAATGCATAATAAATTTTCTTATTACGCTAATAAAATTACAATAAATATTTTTTTTTACAAATAACATAAAAAAATCATTTTTATTTTCAACAAAAAACACATTTAAAAATTAGCAATTTCATAACCACTTTTTTTTTTAATTTTCGAAAATGCAATTATAAAAAATGAAACAATATTGAATTACAATATTTAATACTTAAAAAATTCAATATTAAATAAATTTTATATAT